TCAAAAACATTAACGGATATTGGGACAACTTCCTAGTTCCTAATATTTTTCAGTGAAATATAGCGCAAGCACTAGCCTGTTGAAAATTTAGTTGAAGGAAACACGATTGCAGGGAAAAACTAAATGTAAAAACATGAATTAAAAAATGATTAAGCATTCACACCGAATGCTGAAGGCGACGTAGAAAAAAAGATTCTCTTCAGTTCAATATAATACTGTGATTAGTTTTTGACGATGATATAAATTATGCTGGAACTTAAAATCTCGTATTATGCTAATAATACGAGATCGCTGGTTCAAAATATTGAGTGCAGGGAAGCCATGCAGTCCAGATCACTGGAACTTCCATCCAGAAGCTGATCCAACCAGACGGCGCGCAGGTACAGTCTGAAAAAAGGTGGAACAAATATGGGCCAACCGGGCAGGCTGTGCTTGATGAAATTGCGGAGAGACTCAGAGAGTGATGAGTTATTTTTTTGCTGGCTTCAATGTTCATGTATCATATCAATTATCATACAATATAAGGCAATCGTGTATATTGTAATAATTATACTTTAGGACACCCCTTATATTTTATTTCCCTTCATAAATAACATGCCCTATTCTCACAAAATTAAGCCAGCTGATATTCAAAATTATCTTGGCAAACTATGACGATATACATGTATAGCCAAACGTTTAGGTCCTAAAACAAACATAATATTAATAGGAGTCTACTCGTTCTCATAATGAAATGGAGTCCTTAATACACACTAATTTAAGCTTTATTTCCTAATAAGTGTACAGGAACAATTAAGCATATTAGAAATGCACAGACCCTAATGGAGATATTTGATGAGAAGAAAATTGTAATATGCATGTATTTATAATTTATATTCAAAACCGTCCCCAGCACTACACATTGCAGTTCTAAACTGTCCAAGTTTAAATGTTAAATGCCTCGTTTTGTGATATTGTGTGGGCAATTTCACCATCATGTATTTTGTAATCAGTGTATTCAAGATTAAATTGTTTGCATTTTTTAACGACAGGTGTTTAATAGTGTTAAATACGCCAATCAGGTCCATCAGAATGCAAATCATAGATCCCCAATTATCCTTCTGTAGAAAAAGTGTAGCATACAAGCCGTAAACATTTAAAGCAGTCTCGTAGTTTCCAAAATGACCCAGACAGCATGACATAATAATAAATAAACAATTTCCGGAAAAAATTAATACAAGAATAAAAAAAATGAGCACCGGTTTTTAGGTTTAGTTAAATTACAATTTCCCTATCCAAAGGCAAATACAGGCCGATCTATTACTGTTGAATTTTTTTTCATATAAAATGCTTAGGTGAATAATAGTCAAAGGAGTGGAAATACGCAACAGAGTAGAGCTGAATGGGTCTCCATGGGTCTCGCGAAGCACTGTGCCTTTAAACACCAGCATTCTCTGATTTTAACTTCTCCAACTGCACATTCTCAGTCTGTTCTAGACATGGACTGCAGCATTGATGAAAGTTGGCTGATTTACGACATAAACAAAATGCATAATTAGCCATTTTAACAAAACTAATTAATGAGCAGGCGAAATCCATCCCCCCCCCCCCCCCCACAATTTGAAAATGTCGAACGGAAGAACACTTGGTTATTTCAGTGTCATCAAATCACCCGAACACAGTGAAGGAAAGAAAAAAAGATGAATCACAATAATACACATTAATAACAAATACTTCACAATTTCATGGCAAGTAGAATCCATATTGCAACATATTGAAGCAGGGATCACGACGGCAGCACAGCTGAGCATGTGGTTCGTGAGCCCAACAGCCTGCACAGTCAACAGCCGCCGGCAACTCCAAAAGATGCCTAGCGCGAAAAGGGTATGGCTGGTTTGGCTTCTTGCCAAAACAAGAGCATGGGAACTTGCCTAGCACAAGACAGACAGGTAGATCGTCATGATGACGAAATGTCACCACCAATGCGATGAGCTGCACAAACATTCCCGCTAAACTGGAGTTAACTGATAGGCAATAAGACCCGCCCAAACATCCCATATATAGGTTGACTAGTGCAAGGCATAACCATAATAACATTATTGTCAAGGATATCTAATGACGTGTGTCGGCTTCGTAAATATTCATGATACAGTTTCTAAACTGCATGGTGGATGTATGTTTTGAAGAAACGGGAAATGATTTATTCCATCCTAATTGGACGCTTTTTGATATCCCTCTAAAGTAATGGTTGATGTTTTAATTGCTTTTGCGGTCATTACGCATAAAAGTGAATTATTGTTAAGCTCCAATATTTGGTTTGGGTGCATTAAAATAAAATTTATATTGATACCTCCTTCTAAAGTGAATTTGTTTTGTATTGCTAAAAAAAATGTATTTCAAAAAAGACGGAAGTAGGCCTATTTATTTTCGAGGTGAAACTCTGAGCTTGAAGTTGTATTATCATGATTATTGATAAACATATTAGACCTGATGTACATTTCTTCACTAATTCTACATTACAAAGGAAAAATTGAAAAGACTACGAAGTTGATTTCCACTTGTCAACATTTAACAAACGATGTGTCGGAAATTTGCCACCTATCAAAAAAAAATATCAGGAAAATATTCGAGAACACAGCGCCTTGCTCCTGGTTTAATAACAAATACTGCCGACGCAACAAAGCCTGAATATTACCGAAGCACTGACCTGTAGCTGGTTACGCGAACTCCGCGTACGATAGGTTCGCGCACTTCGCGAGCTCAGCAGCTGTAGCATATTAGCATAGCTTTAGCATAACAAAGGCGCATTGTCATGCGATACAAATGAACCTGCAGAGCTCGATGTTTACTCGTAACTTGGGATCAAAATTAGTTCGCGAACTTCACTGACCTCGCAAACAGTCACTATTGAAGCCTGCCCTAAAATGCCCTAAAACAGCTGCTTGAAAAAACACAACGGAACTTTATTTTTTGTTAAAATAAATAAAAAGCCAATCCGACACAAGTCCCTGTTGTCATCTTTCTCTTGTAGCCTAGCCTTGGTCAAGGCGTTCTTCATGATTCGTCTGTACGCAGGAAATGATTGGCGGCATATTCTCACTATGCAGTGCATGAAAAATACAGTGCGAACAGCAACCTTATGCGGCCACTATGCAAATCAGTTGGATCCAGACGAACGCCTTGGTCCAATCATCTGCGAAAGCTTACGTTTTTCTTTATTTTATGCTAGATTTCCAGTGCACGACCTCATATGCGCATACAGATACGGTAAGTATGGGCGGGGTAATATGTCGAGTGTCCAATCAAACCTTGGTGAATCCCGATGTCCCGAAGATGAAAGCGGTGACTTATCAACACAGTAAATTCAATCATCCGTGCGCTAATATTGCCCTTTCGTTGCAAGCTAAATAGCATTCCTAGCGCCATCAACAAATAAGGAAGGCCAAGTTTGGCTTTTTTTCAATTCGGTTCAGCGGTTCGGCTGCAGCACTACCTAAAACTAACACAAAAATCATCTGGAACAAGAATTGAAAAGACCCGGAACACAAATAGCATCCCCGTCCTAAATCAGAACAACACAGATAAGGTTGAAGCTCTTGCCAACAGCTTTACTAAAGTTAACAGTACAAACAATTACTGACCCTCTTTTATTTCCATAAAAAAAAGATACTGAAAAAGAATTCTCCATCAATGATAACAAAGGCAGTGTCATTAACAAGCCATTTAATATGGTAGAATTAAACCATGCAAACGACACCTCCAAGTGTACCACCGCTGGGAAGGACGGCATTAATAATGCTGTAATTAAACACCTCCCCATGATTACTTGCTGATCATCTTTAACAGAATCTGGCAAACATCTCAAAGCCCCAAACAATGGAAAGAAGCCATTTTCATCCCACTCTTCTTAAACCAGGGAAAGAGTCCACCAATCCCCTGTCCTATAGACCAATTGCCTTGACCTCTACTTTCTGCAAACTTATGGAATGTACATTGTATGGTCAACTCCAGACTCCTTTGGTACTTAGAAACACATACATGTAATCTGTTATCCAATTGCCAGAGGAAAAGGAAGAAGTACTAAAGACCGTATTCTCAATCTGGAGCCATATTCATGAAACCTTACTAACTTAGCAGCCAACTAGGCCTTAGTAGGATACTAAAATGTCTAGCAGTCTACTATGTAGTTGACAAATAAATTGTGATTCACGAAACCTTAATATGAACCTTGCTAACTAGTTACATAAAATACTGCAAGTGAGACTTGCGCAATCCCCCTGGCATGCTGGCAGTTTTTTGTTGTTATCAAGTCAGTGTCCCTAACAAATGGAAGATTTCTATTGTTTTAGCAATAGTGACCTTGAACTTTGACCTGTCTGCCCCAAAATCAATAGGCTTCTTGATAAGACTATCAAGAGCAACCCACAAACCAAATTTGAAGTTCCTCTGTAATGCATTTCTCAAGCATTCGTGCTGAAAATATTTCTAGTTTTAAAAATGATGACCTTGACCTTTGACCTCTCCGTCCCAAAAGCAATAGGCTTCTTAAGACTACAAAGAACAACCCATAAACCAAATTTAAATTTCCTTAGTAAAGTATTTCTCAAGTTACCACGCTGACAAGATTTCTATTGTTTTAGCAATATAGTGACCTTGACCTTTGACCTGTCGGCCCCAAAATCAACAGGGTTCTTAAAACTATCAAGAACAATCCACAAACCAAATTTCAAGTTCCTTAGTGAAGCATTTCTCAAGTTATCGTGCTGACAAGAGTAAACCTAACCAAATCATAACACACACACACACATGTTTTACTATACGCCTGAGGACAACCTATTGTGTTTCCCTTTGTCCCTCTAATATAACACTTTCCCATAGAATAAGCACAAAACCGTACGATCGAGGACCGATTTTAACAATAGGCACCGTCGTCCGAGGATCAAAGGCCCCTTTGTGCTCCTGTTGTTGTCTGTTCTCGAGCGTAATACAATACAAGAGCGCCCATGTTTGTATGTTCTTACCTTGGAAGAGATGTTTCTTTTAAAGCTGCAGGTTGAACATACAAGAAGTTGTCATCACTATCGTCATCTTCATCTTGAGATGCCATATCGCTTAGAGCAGCTAAACTGCCATCCATCATGTTGTTGTACAGGGTAAAGTTTCTGGAAAACGTAAAAACATAAAAACAACACAATCACACTTGATACAATGTCTCGTCTTCACACACATGACACACCAAACTAAATTTGGGTCAGTCAAAAGTAAAGTTGCACATTGACCTCTGCTATTTTGTAGTAAAACATGAAAAGACTACCATAATTTTCAGAATATAGGCCGCGCGGAGTATAACGTCGCGTCAGTGTAACAAGGTCGTATCTCGATTCTGCAACAAAGTCGTATCTCGCGTGAATAAGCTCCGTGCAACAAGGTTGTATCTCAACGTCCATTGACTTTGCATGTACATCCGAGTTATCTTGAGCGAGATAAAACCTTTTGACATTCTAAAACTCGCGTTTTGCATTTATGTCATTTTACGACCTTGTTGTACTGACGCGATGGTAAGCCGCAGCATGCAAAATCTGCAAATTAAAATTTGCAGTGCATGTTTGGGTCAAGATCCAATGGCGTGACGCTACGCAAATGAGGACTCTTTCATTCCGGTAAAATGGCATGCACGGGGAGTTCTTCTCAATACGTAAGGGACATGTTTGCAGATCTGGCGACGTTTTAACGACCAAAAAAGTCTATAAGCCGCAGTACACATCTTCATGGGCAAAATCAAGGTATAAGCTGCGGCTTAAAACTGAAAATTACGGTAAATTAGTGCTGCAGCTGAACCACTGAACCAAATTAAAATTCGGCAAACATTGCATTTACGGAACCGGACTGGACCAAACCAAACTAAATTGTTCAGTTTGGATGTCTGGAAACAAGATTTTCAGCGTCGCATATTTTTATTTGTACAATCGAAGTTATCAAAATATGCACCACAAAATTAATAAATTTTCATTATAATAAGGCAACTCAATCAGGGGCTGAGCGCGCGATCACAATAGATCACAGACCAAGCAGCCACAGAGCAAAGTGCAAGTGCCACCAGTGCTACTCAAACATTATGAATTCTTCCCAAATGTATGTGAACCTAACCAACACCATTTGTATTTTCAATTCCCACTGAAGCCTACAGCGGCGGATCACGCAGTTCCAGGACTGTTTTGGGGTAGACGTGTGAACGTGGCATGTAAACAAAGCCATGTTCTGTTGTCATTTTGAACCTTTTGAGTACTTAGAAATCATTGAGTGCCTTTTGCGCATTCAGGATGTTTTATTTCAAAGAAATTTGCCAAAACTAAAGACCCATACAAATGTATAGAAATACGATTTTAACGTTAACTGGACAAGTACCCAGTGTCATGTGAAGCACACGATTATGGTTGTCGCTTGGACAGATTGACGGCTTGATACTGATGTACAACTTATGAATACTTGGGCCCTTCAATCTTACATCATTACGGCGCATTTAAAGCTTTTGTACTTGTTTTCTTTTGTTCAGTGCTATTAAATACATTTTGCTTGTAATAGGAAGTTCGGAAATTACCTAAAAATCCACCACTCCCTGGTAAAAAAAAAAGTGGGGGGGGGATATAAATATACCCCCCCCCAGCATGTGTTTATTGAACACAGTTTCTTTTGCTGTCCGTCTGTTGTGTTTGCTAAATCAGTCTGCTACTTGCACCCAATATTTGCACAAATATATACACTTCCAAAATCAGTTCAGTGATAATACTTTCAGTGATAATATTACTGTAGCAGGAGCCTCGAGCTCTTGTCCTCCAAGTCGAGCAAAACGCAAGAAAAGGGGACACACAACACACAGGATTTGAAACACAAAAGAGCTCCTATTTATTTAGCTCAAACAGACAACTTGAGCTAATTTGTTATAGATTGGGGAATAGCGTTCTGCTGCCTTACAAAAAAACACCATATTGATAAAAATAAAAGAAAGGGGTAAACAGATCCTGGAATCATGTGCTTACGAAACTACTGATCGGAAAAACGAACAAATTTCAAATGTCCTGCACTGCAAATTTGTCAACCATCTCCCACAATACACTGGGAAAGATGAACTCTCCTTGGCAAACTCTTGGTGGCGCACTGCTTAGTGAATAGCCCAAATTCCCACTGAAGCCTACAGGGGCGCGCATAAGGCAGTTTGAAGACTGTTTTGGGGGTTAAATCTGATGATTTTGATAGGGGGTACGAGTGAAAATGGTAAAAAAAAACATTGTTGGTAAAAGCGATGTGCTATTACTAGATCCTAGGACTCTACTATCGCCTGACCATGTCCAAATGTTTTTAAAAAGGTGATTTGTAGAGTCCTAGGTACTTGGACTACTCATTATCATAATCTATGCATTGTGCTCGGTAACGGAATTGAGCTCGGGACCATTGAATGAACGCTGGGCACGACCACATTGCATCGTTCAAACTAGTCGGAAGTTTAACGTGTCCACGATTGCGAGGGGAGCTCTCGGAATTGAAAGGGAAATTTCACTTTCATCTGGATCGTAAGTAAACTTAAGTACCTCGATCTTAATCATCGATCTCTAGTTGAACCTCAGGTGGGGTATCTAGTAATTTGGAGGCCGTTTATGGGTGAATCTGGAGTTTTTGTTGGGCCATGTTAAGTCCGAGTAACTAGAACTCTACGAATTGCCTTTTTTTAACATTTGGGCATGGTCGGGCGATAGTGGAGTCCAAGGATCATAAAGTACATCACGTTTACCAATTGCACTCATACCCCCAATCAAAATCCTCAGATTTCACCCCCAAAACAACCCTCAAAATGGCCTGATGAAACAACCCTCAAAATGGCCTGATGTGCCCCTGTAGGCTCCAGTGGGAATTGAAAATACAAATGGTGGTGGTTAGGTTCACATACATGTACCTTTGGGAAGAAAAGAAATTTCACCGTCAATTTGGGAAACATCCTCGTCACACCCGCCGTGTCTGAGGCTGCAATTTTGATTCAGGAAAATTGACTTGTGAATGGCTTTTGGCTACACAGTTTCCTGGCTAGCATCATACAGACCAATCACAGGGCACTTTGATTGGTCGCAGTGGAGACGCTCAATGAAGACGACATGTGTTTGGCCCATTAAGGTGACCAATCCACGTGACCAATGGAAGTGCCCTGTGATTGGTCTTTCTGATGCTAGCTGCGAGCTAGTCTGGTTTCCTGTTCCCATTGTCCTTCTAACTCCAATATTTTTAGGGGGCCCGGGAAACAGTCTAGCCAGGACCCATGCACAAGGCAATTTTTCCTATATTCAAAATTGCAGACAGCGCGTGCAACGAGGATGTTTCCCGAATGAATTGGAGGTGAAACTTCTCTTTTCTTTCCTAAGGTATGTGAACCTAACCACCTTCAATTTGTATTTTCAATTCCCACTGAAGCCTACAGGGGCGCATCAGGCAGTTTGAGGACTGTTTTGGGGGTGAAATCTGAGGATTGTGATTGGGGGTACGAGTGCAAATGGTGAAAAAAAAAAGATTATTGGTAAAATGTGATGTAATATTAGATCCTAGGACTCTACTATTGCCCGACCATGTCCAAATGTTAAAAAAGGCGATAAGTTGGGTTCCAAGTTACTCCGACTAAGTTACAAGTATTGGTGGGTCGAAATCCCCTTAAATGTCAAACAACAAAGTGAAATTAGCTCTAGTGGGGTCTTATTTGCTCAAAACGATGGATAAGAAGATCAGGCCAACTTGACTCACTCTTGAGCCAGCAAATTTCTCCAAAATTGTCAATGGGCAAAAAGAAAAGGTCCTCAGTATTTCAACAACGAAGTTTGAAGACTCAATTTAAATTTAAAGGAGATTTGTCTTCAATATTTGGCAGTGGCTTGCACAAGAGAGGGAAGTCAAGTGATTTCAAAATGAGGCTAAAGACTAGCCTTCTACATGTCCATCCATGGACCAACTGTTTGACAAGACTGACTTCTTCATTCTTTGTCATTAGTCTGGTGCCTGACTATGAAGAAATGTGTAGAAATATTGACCTAGTACCCGACATCCTAGATATTTCTTTTGGCACAGTGATCTGATAGTTGATTGATGCAGTATGAAGAGTTGTTGGACTGGTTGTTTCAGGTGCCAAGGGCGGATCCAGGGGGGGGGGGGCAAAGGGGGCCATGGCGCCCCCCCCCCCCCAAAAACGAAACCAATTTTTTTTATTTTTTTTTTATGTGACATCGCAATAAAGGCAGGCAATGAGTACACCACCATCTTTTCCTCAAAAAAACATTGTTAAAGTGGTCAGAAATTGCCTCAGATCGCACCACAGAGCATCTAGAATCCAAAAAATTTTCGGGGCCCTTAAGCGAACCCCGTATCCCACACCGTAATTTTTTTGACCCACTTTTTGGGGGGACCAAAATTTTTGTTGGCCCCCCCCCCCCCAAAAAAAAATTGTGTTCTGGATCCGCCCTTGTCAGGTACCAGTCTATTTTCTTGTATAGCGTGTTTTTTATACCTTAAGTTTTAGGACTCTCATACACAGTATTGAGAGTCCACAATTTTCAGACTAATATCATTAGAACACGAAACAGTAATTGATTAAGCATGTAAAGCGCGACTTGCTTTTCTTTGATAGTGACGTCACACACACGCTCCATCGATCAGCACTGAAATGGATGGTACAACTGGGCAGACACATAAATTGTGAGCGGTAAGTTTATCTGAATATTTTGTTCTGTTTTCAAAATTACCAGTTGTTTGGAATAATTGAAGGGGTCTTATGGAATGTCATGAACATGTGGATCTATACAGGGTACAGTTGATTTTCCGGTTCCGCAAACGGAAATGGTTTATGGCGTCCAGCAACACAAAAACTTATTTTGATGGAAAAGTACTCATCCAGAAATATCCGTAATTTGTCCAGTTTCTTCAGAGACTTAATAGTTTGGGGCAGTTCTTGAAATAAAAATGCTACCGAGCTTTTTTCAGAGGTTGGTAGTTTGCCAAGTCTCGCCAAAAAAATGCCGGTTTTGCAAATAGCACACTCTTAATGGCAAGGTTTGTTTTTCCGACATCAGCTGTGTGCGCGCATCCACTGCTTTACGTTATTGGTTTGATTTTCAGGACAGGGGTCGGAGAA